AAAACAATGTAACCACAAGTACAAATAAAGTAAAAGTAAGGATCCTATAGTAAGAAAATGTTAATCAACTGATAAACCTGTGAATTAGTCATGTGCGAGACTGTACCAATGAAAGAGAATTTTAAATGACACCATCCCTGTGGGAGAAGCATGCAGCAGTTGAGGAGACAAGATATGAGATTTGTCCAGAAAGTATCCAGCCGAATGATATTAAAAATAGAGGTATTTATTTGGACTTCATTGATTTGGACTTTATTTATTCTCCCCAAATCAATCTATATGCTCAATACAACCCCAATCAAATTCTCAACCAGACTTTTTGGAAAAGCTTACAAACTGATTCTAAAGTTAACATAGAAATGCAAGGGCTTTGCCCTGGCGGATATGGCTCAGTGGGCTGGGTGCTAGTCTGATAATCCAAAGGTCGCTGGTTTGATTCCCAGTCAGGGAACATGCCTGGGTTGTGGGCCACGTCCCCAGCTGGGGGTATGCGAGAGGCAAGTGATGGATACACTGATGTTTCTCTCTCTTTCATTCTCCTTCCCTCTCCCCTCTCTAAAAGCAAATAAATAAAAGTCTTTAAATCACACAGATCTTAAAGGGAGGGAGGGATTTCAAAAAGCCAGAATCTGGAAAAAGAACAGCAGAGCTGAAAGACTTACACCATTTTACTTCATGTCTTCTTATAAAACTACAGTAATCAAGTCAGTGTAGTATTGGCATCAAGACAGACAAACAGATCAATAATGAAACAGAAAAGAGTCCAGAAATAAAACCACACATAATATAAATAGATTTTTAACCTAAGTACAAGGCAATTTAGTGAAGGAATGGTCTTTTTATCAAATGGTTCAGGAACAACTGTATTCCATATATAAATAAATGAAAGAAATGAAATGTGATCAATATTTTACCCTACACATAAAAATTAACTCAAAGTGGATCACAGATCTAAATGTAAAAACTAAAACTTCTATAATATAGGAGAATATCTTTGTGATATTCAGCAAAGATTTCTTAAATAAAGCAACAAAAACACAATCCATAAAAGAAAAAATTATAAATTGGACTTTATCAAAATTGAGAACTTCTCTCCTCAAAAGATACCATTAAGAGAATGGAAAGAATAGAAAAAAATATTTGCAAATCTTATATCTGAAAAATTACTTTCATCCAAAAATATAAAGAACTTCTAAAACTCAGTAATATTGAAAACACAGAACCCAATTAAAAATTAACAAAAAATGTGAACAGATACTTCACCAAAGAAGCTACATGGACAGCAAATATGTTCATGAAAAGATGCTCTGCATCACCAATTGTTGGAGAAATAAATGCAAATTAAAACCAGAGTCAGGCCCTGGCTGGTGCGGCTCAGTGGATTGAGCACTGGCCTGCAAACCAAAGGGTCACTGGTTCAATTCCCAGTTAGGGCACATGCATGCATCGTGGGTCAGGTCCCAGTTCGGGGTGTATAAGAGGGAACCACACACTGATGTTTCTCTCCCTCTCTCCCTCTCTTTCTCCCTCCTTTCTCCTCTCTCTAAAAATAAATAAAATCTCTAAAACAAAACAGTCAGATACCACTGCCAAATAGAATGTCTGAAATTTAAAAGATTGACCATACCAAGTATTGAGGAACTGGTGGGAATGCAAAACAGTACATCCACTTTGAAAAACTTGGACGGTTTCTTTAGAAGTTATACCTACCATATGATCCAGCCATTCTACTCCTAGGTATTTATGTAACCAAAAGAAATAAAACTATTATGCCCACACGAAGACTGTACACAAGTGTCACAGTAGATTTATTGGTTACCAAATCTGGAAACAATATGTCCAGCAACAGGTGAATGTATTAATAAACTAGTGCATCCATACAAAGGAATATTACTCAGAATTAAAGGGGAATCAAGTACTGATGCACTAAAAACATGATGAATCTAAAAATAACTAATTTGAGTGAAATAAGCAAAACAACATACAATTCCATTTATATAAAATTCTGGGAAATGAAAATTAATATATAGTAAGAGAAAGATCAGTGGTTATCTGGGAGGGGCCAAGGAGACAGGATGTGAGGAAAGCTTTGGGAGCAATGGGTATGTTCGCCCCCTCTCAACTGTGACGATGGTCTCATGAGTTTACACATATATAAAAACTTAACCACTTGTACACCTTAAATATGTATAGTTTATATATAGTATGGCAACTATACCTCAATAAATCGACTTTTAACAAATATGAGCTTAACAATAAGTAATAATCCTTCATAATACAAATTGGACCCTAATTCATTCATTAAAAATTATTCCTTGTTAATAATGTGCATTTTGTCATAAAATTCATGGGGCACCCTTGCTTCCAAAGTATTAAGAAAGACTGATTTGAACTGGAAAAATTCAGTAAATCATAAAAAAAAAATGTCTCACAGAAGCAAAAGATCTCTGTAAAATACAAATATTTTTTCATTAAAAAAACTGAAAATAACTAAAAAAGAGTAACAAACCATGTAAACTGTTGATTTTAAATAGAATCAAACAAAAGAACAATGGGCTATTATCTCCTTCCTGATGCAGCTGCGCCTAGTTTCACAGCCAGTCCTCCACAAGTGATGGAAGCTCACATAGCAAAGAGAGAAAGGAGCGACGATTTCCATGCAGTGAAATGCTCTCTAAATGCGGTGAAGTTACACAGAAATGTCTGGGGCTTCTCTCTGAACCCCTCAGTGCCTACAATCACCACAAACCTCTCCTCCTCGTCAAAGCCTAACAGAAGAAACGGCCCTACTTCATTAAAGGAAGCCTACAGAGGAACCTAAAGAACAGAGTTCTTCAATTAGCGTTGTATTACTTCCTGCCTCCTCCCAGTTTCTGTACGCAAGCTCTCAAATACACCAGATACTCCGACAATTACTTTCCTTCATTTGAAAGATTTTTTAAGCCACAAGGAACAGGTAACTTCCTACTACATCAGCCCACTCCCTTACTTGCCCTTTCCCTTGGCACTACCACAGAGTTCACATGGACGGTCCCAAGACGAGTGGAAATGCTGAAATCAGGGCCCGACGCAGCGTGCGGGGAGGAGCGGGGGCTTTGGCAGCACGCAGACATGGGTCCGTGCTCCGGTTCTAACACTGCCTGCCTTGTGACTCAGCTTTCTCAACAAAAGAGCGAAATCATGTCTCTCATTGGACAAATACTAGTTATTAAATGACACAATGCATGTGAATTACTTGACACACAGGAGGAGATCCATAAATTATAATCCCCACAATACACCGTAATTTTAAATACTGGGGGGCAAGAGGAAGGTAATTTTTTTGGACTAACAGTGGACTAAAGTTGACCAATTCTAGCCTCAATGTAAGAGTTAATCACATAATTGCAACTCTGGGGTACCAAGTTCTTGGGCACTGAGTTCTTGCAATGGTTCCAAATAAAATGCTATCTGAAAAGCCCTCGTTGTCAAATCTTTACATCTCCTGTCACATGACACAAAGGGCATTTTGTGCAATTCCACCACCACACCCAGTCTGATAAAGACAACAAGCGTTCTAGCCAAGTCTCCCCGACATCACCAATAACGGCTGGACCTCAGAGTGATCTGTGGACCCATTCCAAGCTCACAGTTTGACTTGTACATGTGCTCAGTGGTTTTTGACTGAAAAATGCCCTTTCTTTCCCACAGCAACCTCCCACATAAAACAAGAAAAAAAATACTTTTTCAAGGTTAAAATTAACAGGACACTCTAAAAGTTAGATATTGTAAGCCTGGTAATACAACATTACAGAAAAGCCAAGTCTGGGATAAATGGGGAAACTACAAATAAAAGTTTACAAATCTTCCTCATGCAAAAAAATGCTTTGTTACATTTTTGCCTTAAAAATATTGAGCCACATCAAAATCTCTTCTAGTCCAATACCCCAAATCAACTGATCCACAGGCATTCTGAGATAAGCACTATGAAGTATGATACAAACATGACTCTTTCAAAAGCATTTAGCAGCAATAAAGCTCACAAAGCAGTATAAAAGTAAACCTTTACCTCAAAATAAATCAGCTAACCTAAAAAACTTAATGGATCAGGTTTTTAATTTCTGATAGTTTTTTCATTAGATTTTCATCAAAATTTGCAAGGGAACCCAATACATGTGCCATAGATATTACATGCAACAAAGAGAACATTAGGGAATGGTGAGAAAGTCTTAACTCTGGTTGCAAAGTTGAAAGAATTATTCAGCTGAAAGAGTAATGTAAGTTTGATTAATATAACCAAGGATCTAAAATCAATGAGGGTCAAATTTTATGTAGGGCCACCTTTTAGGCAACGAAAGTCCTGAGGACAATCAATTCATTAACAAATACTTCGTAGGCATGTAATGTGCCTCAGCGCAATGTTACAGAGATAGGAAAGCGTGTTTGTGCCTCAGCGGTACTTCTGACCTAACTAAAGAGAAGAGCACAACACGCAAGCAGGCTAACACAGAAAAGGCACACACCCAAGAGCTGGAAGACTAGAGCCTTGGTTCCCGCCTTGCCCTGCTCACAAGAGGTCTGTCCATGAACCGCTGACACTCCTACAGGACTCGATTTTCTCACCCAGAAAATTTCTAAGGCATCTTCCACTCTGGCTCTATTAATCCAAGTTGAAGGACAAGGGAGAGGAACTGGGCCTGAAAGAAGCAGGAGGGCCCCAGCCGGGTGGCTCAGTTGGTTGGAGCGTCATCCCCTGCACCACAAGGTTGTGAGGTCAATTCCCAGTCAGGGCACATGCCTATGCTGCAGGTTTGATCCCTGGTTGGGATGTGTATGGGAGGCAACCAATTGATGTTTCTTTCTCTCTCTCCCTTCCTCTCTCTCTCCAAAATCAATAAAAACATATCCACACGTGAGGATTTAAAACAAAAAAAACGGGGAGATTTGAATGACTGAAGGGAGAAGAAAGGATATTATTCCAGGGCTCCAGGGAAGGAGCATTAAGGTGAAAATGAACATACCTTGTACGATTTCACTTATATGAGATATCTAGAGCAGTCAAAATCATGGACACGGAAGGTACAGGGTGAGTTCCAGGAGCTGGAGGAAGGGAAAGAGGAAGCTGTTCAACAGGTGAAGTTTTCATTTTGCAAGATGACAAAGTCCTAGAGATCTCTTATGCAACAACGAACTGTACAGTTCAAAATGGTTAAGAGGGTAAATTTAATGTTTTTACTACCACAATTTAAAAAGAGTCATAGAAATTAGGGTCCTAGAGGTCACACTACTGAAAAAATGTTTCAAATCAACTAACTTCTAGTGTCTAGTCCTAACTCCTAAAATTCCTTTCCTCCCAATTAAAAAAAAAAAGAGTGAACATGTCTTGCTAGTGGGACACAGAGGTTTCCCCAATGACAATAAGGCTGAGGGAGCATGTTGAAAAAATGAGGAAAGAACAAATCATACAAATAGTAACCAATAGTAAAAATACAAAGCAGACTATTCAAATACAATTGAAATGTGCCATCCCCACCGCAATCCAGCCTAAATCCATTAAGTGAAACTCAAAGGATAAAGAGAAACACGCCAACCTGCTCACAAAGGCAGCGCGCTCTGCCCCCCTCCAGCCCCTCTTCCACCAGACTCCTCCCTCCTCTCCCTCTTCCTCCCCCCCCCCCCCCCCCCCCCCCGCCCCGGCTTCGAGCTGCACTGTCCATCCTAGTCCTCTGCATGCGCCGTGACCTCGCAGAGTCCCTGCCCTTGCTATTTGCTGTGACTGGAACACTCTTCCTTTCCTGTGCATCCTTCAGATTTCAGTCTAAATGTCACTTCTGTGACTACCCTAACTCAAATACTTGTCACAGTTGCAGTTTTACATGAGGACAGGAACCAAGAAGGCACTCACTGCCCCCATTTCCAAGGCCAAGGACAGTGCCTAGTACCAAGTAAGCACTCAACTTGTTGGCTCAGTGAATAAATGGGCACTAAACCTATTAAGAAAGCAATAAAACATCACAAGAGGTCTCCTTAAGAGTGTACACTCTCCACAAAATGAATCTCAGCAGAATACCCAAGCAATTGAGCCTAAAATCCCTACTCAACTATTTAAAAAGAAAAATAAGTCAATTCAGATGCATGTACAGGCATACGTCGGAAATACTGCGGTTTTAATTCCAGACAAACATAATAAAGTGAATAAAGCAACAAGGTGAGTCATGATCTTTTTGCTGGTGAAGGGTCTTGCCTACCATTTCGGGAAAATGCAACACCCGTGAAGCACAATGAAACAAAGCAAATTAAAACGAGGTATACCTGTATAAACTTCTTTGGCCCTTCAATGTCTCCGGGCAAATGCACAGCATCCAGGGCAGAGAGTCTAAACACACACACACCACAGGTAAAGCAGAGCTACTAGTTGTTGAGTAACTTGTATTTGCTGTTTCCTGATACAGAGACAGCTACATAGGAAGCATTCTGGGAGTATCTGTCAAATGAAGAAAAGAGCAACATTTCACAAGACTAGTAAGAATGTATGAAACAGTAACTCTACTTAAACTGTGGTGTCTTAGCTCTGGCTGGTGTGGTTCAATGGACTGAATGCCAGACTGGGCAGCAAAGGGTTGCTGGTTTGGTTCCCAGTCAGGCCACATGCCTGGGTTGTGGGCCAGGTCCCCAGTGGGGAGGCTTGAGAAGCAACCACACTTTCCCTCTTTCTCCCTTCCTTCCCCCTCTCTTTAAAATTAAATAAATGAAGTCTTTTAAAAAATGCATCTTAAAAATAAGACCACCTGCAGAAGAGGAAAAGTTTCTAAGCAGCAAAGCCCTCATCTTCCCCCACTAGTGATCTCATTATATTAGCTCTCAAACACAAAAAAAAATGACACTCTTGTACTAAGAGTGAAATATATTGCAATCAAGTGGCCTTAGAAATTTAAATACTACAAAATCACATGAGACTATTTCCCAGACCCAAAAGAATATAAGGAAAGAAACTATTTAGGATTCTTTGTCCACTCCAATACAAATGTAAATCTATAATTTAGAGAGGAGACAAGTAGTATCTATACTTTATAGTATCTAAACATATTGCTGAAAACTCAGACCCATACTGATCTCTCTTCTCGCTGATTTTGCATTTACACAAATGTTATTTTATAGTTTTCCTAAAAGTTGATGTGTGCAGTCTCATTTCTTATATATATCCTTTCAGGTGCACCCAACACTGTAGGTGCTCAATTAATACTTATTGAACTGAAATTAAATTATACTACTTTTGAATAAGGAATTTGGGAATAAACTCCTATATTTTATTCCCAAATAACTTCATTTCCAAAAATTGTTCATATGCCTGTTTTGGTTCCGTCATCATTGGGTTAAATATAAAGTCTTTATTCAACAGTGTTGCCAGTCCTTCAAACTCAGTTAAGGGAGGTGTTCATTCAGTTACTGGAAGTTCCATAGAAATTTCAGATTGTCGATTTCTAGGGAATGGGAGAGCGGGAACAGCTGGGATTGTCATAAGATTGTGTTGAATCTGTTTTCAAATGTAAATGAGAGATATTAACCACACCTGCCCCTCCTTTCTTCAACGTAGCAAATTTCACTTGACATTTTTCCTAAACCTACTCAGTCCCACGAAGAGCTCCTTCTGCAGAAAACTGGAAGATACAAAACCTTAACTACAGAATACTAACTGCACATCACTAAAGACTGGAAAGCTAATTCCCCGGGAAAAGATCAGCACAAAATATTCAATTAAACGAGTCTCCACGATCAACAAAACAGGTTAAGCACATCCCTTGAGGAAGCAGTTCGCAAACATCAGGTAATAAACTTAAGTGGCTGCTCTAGGCTCCTGAGGCGCCCCATCCCTGCCAGTCCCACGAGAACGCGTCCACAGGTGACCCGAGCATCGGCAAGCCGCCTCTCTACAGCACCCGGCTCGGCGTCCCCGCGCACCACACCGGGCTACAAGGGAGGGCCGGCGGCGAGGAGCCGGGACTCGGAGGCCGGGGGTCTGCCTGGAGCAGGGGGCGTGAGGTGGGCTGGGGCGACGCCAGGACCTGGGAGAAATGCCAGAGGCGGAGAGCGCTTGCCCAGAGCCGCCACAGGTGCCCCACGAAGGGCCGCGGAGGTTCCGCGGGCCAGACCCCGGTCGGTCCTGGGAAAGGGTCGAGGTGGGGCTGACGGGACGGGGGCGGGTGGCCTCACCGTAGCTCCGGGGAGGCGCCGCCGCTGTCCCGCAGTTGCTATGGAGAATGCTCTTCCGGGTCACGGACGCGGCGCTACAGAGGCAACGGTGGCCGGAAGGGACCAAGAGCGCTGCGCGGGGCACCTGCGCTGCAGAGGCGGTGGTCTGCGGTAGTTCCGCCGCAGCAGGAGCGAAAGTGCAGGGCGGGGAGCTACTGTACCTTCTCCGGTCTCGCCTCGCGGGGGCGACTGGCGGAAGCCGGTGGCTCTAGCTAGACGGCCTCTGGGACGTCCTCCTCCCCGTCCCCGGGGACAGACGTCGGCGGGCGCCCTCCCACCCCTGCTCCTGAATCCCCCCAGCTGTCCTGCAGCCGGCCGACTCTCAACCCTGCAGACGTCGCTAACACTGGGGCGTATCGTCCCGCTGCTAGTCTCTGAGTGTAGCAACGCCGGCCTCTTCCTGTGACAGGGCTTTACTCAACGACACCTGCTCAAGGCTAGGTGGAGAGCAGGAAATGGAGATTCACAGGGGGCAACCTAGACGCGGCCCCTGCCCTCCGAAAGCCAGGCTGCGGGGAGGGCAGGCAGTATCCTGAGTACTGGGACGGGCCAAGTAAAGGAAGCCACCGGAGCCTGCCCAAGACCCAAGATGATAATGGAGGATCAGGGTTATCACCCTCTGGATTTGAGGGGAGCCATCTGTTGCCTCCAGAGAGCCATTTTGACATTCAGGGGGCACTGTGTTGTGAAGCCCAAGTCTTCCAGGCAGTTTAAGGGTTACGGACAGCTGTAGTTGCCCCAGGGGTTTCCAGTTCCATTCCAGCCCAGCCCTGATTCCTAACCACCACCTCCACCACCACTTAGCCTTTTCCTATACTGATACCCACCGAGTCCGAAAGGCAGACACCCAGGAGTCGTTCTTGATACCTCTACTTTCCCTCCTCGTCACACCCTCTTCTCTAACAGCCTGGTCCAAAAACAAGTCCTGTAGATGGACCTGTTCTCCCCACCCAATTCCACTGCCACCAAGTACAGTGAAAGGAACAAATAACCAAGCAGCTCAGGATTAGTAAGAAATGTTGACAACCTCAGAAATGAAGCGAGATAATAGAGGCAGCCCCCGGGTGCGCGTGCGTGTGTGTATGAAAACAGTGTAATGACCAAACACTGTAAGAACTTCAGGAGATAAAACGGAATAAATTCATCCACAAACAACATATTTTGGTTACCTTTCACATGCTAATTTCACCTTGAAGGAAGTAAAAGATAATGAAAGAACTACTAAACAGGCCATTCTACTAAGGCAGAATGAACATATTCCAGGAACCAAAAGTGAAGGTGTGTTTGCTGGCCTGCGGCCAAGGTTTTAACGCCCCCCCCCCCAACTGTGGGACACGTTCAAGTTCAAGTGCCCAGGCCATCTCTACCTGTGCAGGCTGGTGGTACTGTGGGTAAGCAGAAAGCATTTCTCATCAAATATCGTATCCATTTTTCTTGGCCTCCTCCACTTCAGCAAGTAGACCCACCCAGACCACTATTCCCAGCTTGCAGTTTCTGTCTGAGTATAGCCTGTTTTTGTTCTTGTCTCACTTTAAACTTACTTTTAAAAACTACACCTTTCTTTTCCTTCTACCTTCATAGTATTATTTTTATCTTAACTGTTTAAATAGAAATACTTCTAGGACATTCCCTTTTTTTCTTTTTTTTTTTTTTTTTTTTTTGCCTCATAGGTCTTAGCCTTTACGTTAATTTCTCTTTTACCTTCCAGTTCCCATTTAAAATTTCATCTTTTTAAATGTTTTTAATTGTTAATTTTATTTTATTGGATTATATCATGTTATTCCTAACTTTTTAGGTTTAATTTTATTCTTTTCTAGTTCTTTGCTCTTCTTTTTTTATTTCATATGTGCTACTTTAAATGTGAAGTTTAGAAAATTCTCTCATTTAGAATGTTATTCTTTGTAAACTTTTATTCCCACATATCTAAATTTGTCTTCATTTTTCTATTCTCTCTCCTATTTTAATCTTTTCTTTCTCCAGTCTCCCATCTCCCATATTTCTTCTGGTTTCAAGCTTCCATTTTAATCACAGATGTGTCTCAGGAGCTGCAAGTGGCATCTAACAATTATCACACTTTAAAAGAGAAGGAATGGCATTAAACTCAGAAGACCCTAAATGTGTATTCCCTTGTTGTGTTGGAGGATTCACTGCAGCGGTAGGTCTTTATAGGACAAGATTGTACTTTTCTCCTATACCTTGGCACCCTGCCAGATACCAGCCTCATGTGAAGCTAGAAAGGCATCTCTCATGTTGCAACCCCAACACAGCACTTAAGACAAGGGGAATCAAAGTGCTGGGCTCAAATCCAGCTCTTCCATTTACTCGCTGTGTGATCTTGGGCAAGTGACTCAACCTCTCTGTGTCTGCTTTCTTCCCCTTTAGGATGTGGATGATTACAGTACCACCTCATAAAGTTGATATGAGATTTAAATGAGTTAATAAATGTAAAACATTTAGAACAGTGCCTGGCACACAGTAAATATATGTTTTTGCTAATATTATGATTTAATAAGAAGTTACCCTAAACAGCAGCCACTCTTGGGAGTGTAAAATAATCAAGTATCTTGTAGATGATGGCACTGGTGGAGCAGCTTTTATCCTTCCTCTGGTGGCAAACACTGCAGCGCACCAAACTGCTCTTTGTATTCTCTCTCCTGACAGACCCTGATCTTTTTCAGATATCAGTACTCCTTCACCGAGTCATGGTGGAGAATGGCGTGCGTTTGTGCGTGCATGTGTGTGTGCGCACGCACGTGTGTGTTGTGGTGGGAGTCGGGAACAATTTCATCGAAGGATGAGCCTCTTTCTCCCTTTCCAGGGCCCGACGCTGACTGAGTCTCTGCATCCTAGAATTCGAGAGAGAAAACATCTGATTGGCTCAAGCCAGCCTATGAAGTGGGTTAGGGTCCACTGGAGCCTATCAGCTGAGCCAGGCAAGCAGCCACACCAAGTAGAATTAGGGCTATGCAGCTTTACACCTTTCTTAGGGGCTCTGGGTGATGATCTCGTGCAGCATATAGTCTGTCTCCACAAGTATCCATATCCTAGTCTTAAAAGCAAGGATATAAAGTACAGTTGTCATAAAGTGTGATCATATTTGAAAGTATTTAATTGGAGAGAAAACTTTTCAGAATACAAAAGCTAAAAGGATTTGACTAAGGAGAACTTAGAGAAAGTCAGTGAATGACAAAAAAAATTTTGAATCTTTTTATAAGAAAGAAAAACATTGTTAAGTTAGAACAAATATAAAGAAATGAGCACAGTGTTTTTTGGGTAAGTGAAAACAGTAAAAGGAATTTAGGTTGTTCAGAAGATGTTACATTTGACCTCACTTAAATGAATAAAAAAAAACAGGATCCAATAGAAATCCTTTATTAAGTTAAAAAGAAACAAATTTTACTAATCGAGAAAAACACAGAGTAACACAATTACAATTCCAAAATAACATGTAAATGGACTAAATTCTCCTATTTAAAAAAACAAGATTCATAGACTAGATTAAAAAGACAAAATCCACACCTATGAATCTTATTAAAAGCACATTTACAGAAAGGCAAAATAGAATTTAAAAATCTGGCTCAAATAAATCCAGCCTGCATAGAGGCCAGCATAGTGGGCCCCACCTGGACTAATAGAGTTCAGTTCACGCCAGGCCTCTGGCACACCTGGGCATGCCCAGGACTCCTGTGCCAGGACCCACTGGAGGTCTGTTTTCATAAGAAGCAGGCATCCTCGCAAAGCACCCCTTCGTCGGGCAAGGCCAAAGGGAAGCCCAAGGACTGCAGGTCAGTGCAGTGCTGTGCACAGGAGAGAAAGGGAGCGCCCACTAAACAAGCAGTTCGGCCTAAGACAGCCTGCGCTGGAGCTTTTCAACGGGACAGGCACCAGCAGGGGAAGGGTCCTGTCAGAGCAAACTCTCCACAATTCTCCACTGATTGGTCCCAAACACAGGCTCTGCCCCAGCCTCACTGAGGGATCCTTGGCCAGTCCCTGCACCTCCCATTTCTTCTACAAAAGGAGGCGATTGGAGGAATTGCTCCGAAGAGGAAAGATTGGGAAATACTGAGCCTTCTCAAGTGTACATTAAGCTTTCACAAAAATTAACTGCGATTTTCAAGATAAAGATATTCACAACAAATACACAAAAATTGTACACACACACCGTCTCGGACATCCATTCAATAATGTTGGAGAGAATGCCAATATGCCACTATACACACATGACCAGGCAAGAATGGAAGGGTCTGTGATGGAACAGTGAGTTGAAAGGGCAACACCAAAAAGGGGGACATCGTTTTAAAGACAAACAGAAAAAGATACAAGGTCACAGCTGAAACTGTATTGGACAGTGCAGTGATTGTGGGCGGGGCAGTGGGTAGGTGGCCGTGGAAGAGGGTCTGGGGGACAAGTCGTGATGGGAAAAATAAATAATGTTTAAAAAAATTTTTTAACTGTATTAGAGGATCTTTTGCATCTTTCATGTCTATGGTAATAAAAAAAATCAATTAAATCTACACCTAAAGTTCAAAAAGATGTAAATAACAAATTTAAAAGAGAAAAATAATAAATATGAAATAAATAAATTAGAAAATAAATATCTGTTTAACATGCAAAAGTAAGATAAAAATTAACTAATTAATATTTGCAAACCATAAGTATAGCCAAAAGAATACAAGAGAAACAAAATTCAAAAGACGACATAAACAGAAAAAAGTTTCAATCATTAGAAAATACCATTCAAAGTTAAACCCCTAGTTTAAAACATTAAACACAATGAACAATTTCGAATAAAATTAACACAAGAAAGAAAAGAAATCTCAAGAACCAGGAAAGAATAACAAAGGAAGAGGAAGGAACAGGGAAAACATTCAATGAAGATTTGTAGAGTGAATGAGTACATTTTTAGAAAAAGGCACCTAGACTTGATAACGTCATTAACACTTCCAATATCATATAAACAAAAAGCAAATTCATATTGTGAGGTAAATATGGTCATTTCCCACCTACTTGTAAATATAATGATGACAAGACAA